CAGTTGGGAGAAACAAAAAAAAAGGCAAAGAAGTGGTAATTACAGGTTGCCAGTGTAAGTGCCACCAGCATGAAAGGCCACTGGGAGCTGAAATCAGGCTCAAAGAGAGTCTGGGGGGCATTTCATGACAGAGCTTGGCCATCAGCTCAGAACCTGCTATTATAAATATGACCCACGGTATTTCTAAGATTGCATTTAAATAAATGGAGCAAACCACAATCGCATTTATACTGAAAGGAGACACCAGGAGAGAGAGCAAGTAGCTACTAAAGAGTGGCATAGCTTGGACATTCAATATGTGGTGGAAGTTGCACATCCTTCCTGGAAGGAGCCATTTGCAGTCCTTCTTTAGTATTTCCTATCATATTAGTTCTGTCTCTGAGTTGGCCTGGGCTGTGTTCCTGTACACTAACCCCAATTGTGCTCCAGGGTGTTCCTGCAGTTGTACTGTAAAGGATGACCTCTTGTCTCCAGCACCTTTTTGCATGGGTGGAGTGGAGAGCAGCTCTCCGTGAACCTTCAGCTTGTGCTTCTCCATGCTGCTTCCTCTCAACATTCTTCTCTCTTTGGCGCTGCCTAACTCTGACTCTGGCTGTCCATGGGGTTTTCCTTTGTGCTTGATCTAACCATGTGGTAGAACAATACAAATTGAACATGGTTCTGTCAAGCACCATGGAAGGCTGCATACTCCCTGCCGCATGGCATGCTGGGACACTTCGACTGTTTTCAGAAGCATCAAAAGGTGAGAGATTCCCCTTTTCTCACAGGAAAAAATGAAAAAGGTGAAGTGTTGCTTAACCAGACTCCCAGGCACTGCGGGGGATGTTTGCAACAGACTTTCCGGAGGGCTTGCATGCAGAATAACTGTTTCTAAGTAATTAATCTGTTTAATTGCTGTTAGAGTGAAGAAGTTAGGCATCCTCTTGGTTAATATGATTTGAGGGTGATTCCAGTAGTACCTGCAAGGATGAAAAACCATTTCTGTCTTCTTACCTTGTAAAACTGTAAGCTGCATCTCTCTGTTTGAGCTGTCCAGTGAGTCCTTCTACTTGAGATACACTCTGGATGCCATTGCTGTCAAAAGATGCCTGCTACTTAATATGACTCTGGACCCGATCTAAGCAATCTTAACACACTGGCATTTCATTCTGAAGAAGTATACTGCAAAAGAACTTCAGGAGAGCCTGCAAAGCATTATCTTTTATTTCTTGAAATGACATGGGTATAATGGCCTGTACGAAATTCGTTTTATCCAATAGTTACATAGCACAGAGCTGAGTCAGCATAGCCAAATGAGCTACTTGAGCCTTGAGAACTTAGATAAGATCCTTAACATACTTCTGCTGAACTTATCCCCTGTGTAAAGTAGAGATAATTGCACCAATTAGTGAAGGACTTTGAGAGCCTCATACAAAAGTTGTCTTATATGGAGATGCTGCCTCATCTTGCAAATTTGTTACGTATCTGTTGTGGAGCCATCAGAAGAAGGACATCTGAGATTCTTAGATTTTATCTGTAATTACCGGTAAGAATTTATGCTAGCGATGTGATACTATGACAAGCAATGTACCTCCTTTTTTTCCTGAAAACCTATGAGAATTGTGATCTAGTGATTACGTGAAGAAGTGAGTGTTGGGATTCCTGTGGGTCTTTTCCAAGTTTTTGACCAGGTGATCTCTGTGATCCTGTTTTTGGTGCCAAACTTGAGACTGCTGGATCCATCTTTTCTAGAATGAATATATCAGTTCAGCATTCAAGCCCCTGTTGAGACAGTTTGATTTTTTTCCAGTACAGATCATCCAGCACTCCTTTTAAGTCCTTTGAGTAAGGCTAAGTTTTAAGAACTGAAATCAGGTTTTCTAAACAGTACTTAAAAAAGGAGAATAGGATGAAAAGGTATTTGTGTCTGTTGCTTAATTTCTTCATGTGGTTATTAGAAGGACATCTACAATTTTTGAGCACTTGGAAGTGTGTTGTTTCTTTATCTCAATACTGCTGTTTTGTGGAATGACATATGTGTTTATTTTAGGATACTGAGGAACTGCAATGCCCTGATACCCAATAGTGGCATCATATAGGTTGTAAAATAAGAATGGTATCAGAGTAACTAGCAATTCAGATAAACACAGTTGCCATCAGTTAAACACAGGCCTTGTCTTTGCTCTGGCTACTCATTTTACAGCAAATTTAATTCTTTTTAATTCTGGAACTCGCAGGTCATGTGTTACATTCAGCCAAGTTTCACAAAGTTCTCAGCTACAATGCATGCTTGCTTTCAGGTGTAATAAAATGACCGAATGGCTGGTCTGGAATAGTAAAATGAAGCCAAGTGTTCCTTCTGTGTCTGTCCTGCATATCTTTTCCACAGTTTTCTGCGAGTGATTTGATAGTGTGCAACAGTCCTACATGCACGTGATGGTTAATTGTACGTCCTGAATCCTGTCGTGTTCACTCAGAGCCCTGCAGCAGGACGCTGATAAAGCCCTGTGTGTAGAAATGGATATAAGCACTTAAACTGCTCTGCAAGCAGATGGCTGAATTTCACATTAGTATCCCAGATGGGAATATCTTAATAGAGAGCCACCTGTCTAAGTGATCTCATGGCTTAGGTCAAGTAGTAAGTTTTATCTCGTCTTTGGCAGGTGATTCCTGCTTTTTCACAGTCTAACAGATGAGTACTTGCTGAGCATGTACATGCTATGGGTTACTTTTGACTTGGTGTTTACCTGCGTAATTCTTATTTAAACTAATTTAGAAGAAAAAGAAAAAGAAAAAAAGAGAGAAAGAAACAGAAGTACAAAGGTGATGTTTGCTTCCTTCCTCTCTTGCTGAGCTGAGAGGACCTTCCCCTGTTGCAAGCATGGAGGCAATGGGCTGATACACAGGCAAGATAAACTCCTAGCTGATGCAGTGTAGAAAGGTGTATGCCAGCAAAAGAGTGAGGCTGCCAAGCCAAAATTTGGTAAATATTCTTTATTTACTTTACCAGAAAGCTTGAGAGAAAACCAAAAACTTATTTTCACCCTCTGATGTTGCATACTCCTTTTGTTCCTTCATAAAGCATTCTGCTTACTTTCCCATCCTTCTTTTTTCCTATAAGATGATTTTTGTATCCATCAGCAGACTAAAAAATTATACTTAATAAATTTTTACCCTCTGTAACTTCATGACATTTGTGATCATTCTTTGAAAGAAAGCTTTTACAATAAAAATTAGAAGTGCTTCTTCAAGGGTTAATTTGGGGATTTCCAACACACTTTCTGATCCCTGAAAAATGCTAATGGGTTTTTCAAGTTGTGCTGTAATTGTAGTAGTATTAATAAACTCTGGTCCTGATAACTGTTCATCTTGGGCATTATTTCCAAGGAATCATAAACAACCAAATGTACTGTCTCATAGACCTAAGAAAGAATACCTATATGTTCTTGAAATCAACCCGTAATATGTTCATCACTTGACATTTTAGCCTGACCCCTAAGCCTGGAATTTTTAGAACTGAAAATCACTTGGGTTTTTTGAAAGAATTAAGAGTTTAAATGATGGTGGTGTGGGGAAGGGCTTAGACTGTGTTTTTTGTAATAGTTTAAAATGCCCACTGGTCCACTGCTAAAAAACATAGCAAAGTCTCACTTTGGATGTGTAATTTACAATAAGCATGGTAACCTACAAAGTATTTAGCACCATGGAAGCAGTACTGTACCAAGCTGTATGTGATGTTTCTCATAACCTGGTTTGAAGCTACAAAAAAACTGAAGTGTGTCTGTGGAATCAAAATGTTAGATTGCCTGCAGAACTGCTTGCTTTCATTGCATCACCCTGTGGAGGTAATGTGTATTACAAATTAAAATAATAGTGGGTTTAGAGTACTTCTTTTTTCTTACAGAAAATAGTATGTGGTCATAAAATGAGCAGTGGTGTATTTATCAGTCTGGGAAGGAAAAGCAGGTGATGAATGTCACCAAGACTAAAACAAATTTCAGCTCAGGTTTATGTTTTTCTTGATGTTTTCTGTTTCTTAAAAACTGAACTTGCTCAGATCATTCCTGAAAAAGCCTTACAATTGACTTTCAAAACTCTGGAGAAGTTAAAAAATGCTCCTTGGTAGTTATGATCAGTGGGCGTTACCCAAGGATCCTGAGACAGTTCTGGTGATGCCATTATGAAATATGAAGTGAGTGGGCAGGTGTGGTCTTGGCAACACTTTGCTTATGCACACATTTGTTAATACTCCTGGTTCCTTGAAGCATGGAGATCAAGTTTCCAACTTGCTGATATTATAAGAGCAAAACCAAACCTGAAAAAGACAGATTAGTTCACTGAGCCTAATTGGAAAAGCATTTAATTAGAATGGGTCAAAAACCTAGTCGAAGAGTTCTGGCAGTCATGGTATAATGGTACATTAGGGAGTGCTTCTCACTAAGTAGGGTCTACCCATTCCTTAATTAAAATGAAAATTATGTAAACTGCTATTACTTTCTTTCACTGTTTGTTTAACTTGGTTAATAAAGATATCTAATTCTTAGAAAACTGACAACTTTCTCATAAAAAATTGCTCTCAAAAGTAACTCAAATAGCTGAGGTCTGAAAATAGGGCGCTTTTTAATAGCGTCTTTAAAAGTTCTTTGTCATTTGAATGCACCAAGATAGCTCCAGCTTTTGTGAGATCTCTTTTCCTTGTTGCTGGACTAAGTTCCAAATGGGAAAAAGTGACTTTGCTGGGGCTCATTTGAAGCAGACTCCAACAGCTAATTAGACATGCTTCAAAAAATACCTTAACAGGTAGGCTTGTTAAACAGGGAATTACTCTATCAAGGGAAGAGTGGAAAAACAGAGGTTAGTCTTGGGAGTAGTTTGAAAAATTGCTGAACAAAAATCTTCAGCAAGTATTAAGATGGTGTGCAGGAGCTGATAGGAGGTAGCGTTGAGAAGAGATTCCATAAAATCTCTAATTGTTGCAGTTATCAGAAACTGTTTCCTTTTGTATTCTCCTTCTATTGCAGTGTCAGAGGATTACAGAAGTAAATTCACTGGGAAGTGTTTCATGGACCTTGCCTGTCCTGAGAAGTGTCGCTGCGAGGGAACAATTGTAGACTGCTCTAACCAAAAATTCACCCGGTTACCCAGTCACCTTCCTGAATATACCACTGATCTGTAAGTGCTGGCTTTCCAAGGTGTGCTCAGCAGGGCATGTTAGTTTTCCTCATTTGTAGAGCCTGTAAAAGTGACTCAGACAATTCAAGGCACATTCTACTTTAATCTCTGTGTGTAAAAGGGGAAGTTAACTGTATTTCAAAGGAGCATCACAACTCTTTTATTTCCTTAGTGTTCATGCCAGGCGTGGGGGTGAAAAAAGAGCCATGGCCCTGAGCTGTGTCTTCTTGAAGTGTTGAGCTGTTACATGTCCCAGGCTGTATGGTTCCTTTCCATTTACCTCTCAGTCCTTTGTCTTTGCATCTGGTCATTTTTATGGGGGTGGGGGGGGGGGAGGAAAAAAGAGAAGATAAATTGATTACCCCTTTTAAGCTAAATCTATGATCAGGAACTTACTCCATCTCAGCAGTTCCTGTTGCTTGGGTGAAATGGCTCTCACTGTAACTATTTTATTGTTAAGCTATAAATGATTTTATGAAATGTATTTGCTTGTAGAGGTTCTTTGGAATTATAAACATAGTAGAGTATGAGAGAATATTTTTATTACTTAGTAACTTAAGAATCTGATTCTTTTGTTATATTAGTAGCCCCTTCAAACACAGTTTTCTTTTTGTGTTAGTATTCTATTTATTGTACTTAAAGTATTCTGTTTAAACCTCCATGAAAATTGTTGATCTGAAGTTAAGATAGAAAAAAATGAGAAAGAGACATATCCAGCAACAGAGCAAAGTCTCTACGTAGGAAAATGGAGCTACATGTAAGCAGAGAAAGTATTTTGCATTCCAAGCCTGTCAAGACAGTGGCCTTCACGTTAATTTTGAAGTCCAGTAGAGTTTGATGGGAAAGAACTCGGAGTCAGATCCCTTCTGTTTATATGGACCACATCTCCAAATGCATGTCTTCTCAGACATTCTGCTACAGGGAGGTTTAGTCACATGAACAAGGCTTTGTAATGGCTAAGGTTCATAATCCCTTATCCTGTGCATTGGAAGAAGGTGGCATTCCTACACTGTCCTTTGGCGTTACACTCCTGAAGGCATCCTAAGCTTTTACTATGGATGCTGTTCCATGTTCCCTTTCCTTCGAATTTAAACTCTCTTCACCCTGGGAGTCTGAGAGCAATGACAGATAGTGTCTTCCTTAACAAAGGTCATAGTTTTCTGTGTGGCAGCTCTGTATGTCACTGAGATATATCTATAGAGATCTCTGAAGTATTAAATGACTTTTTGTTTGTTCCTGTCAGGCGTTTGAATGACAATGATATTTCTGTTCTGGAAGCTGTCGGACTTTTCAAGAAATTGCCCAACCTCAGAAAAATGTAAGTTTGAGTCACTTTCTTGTTAGTATACATGCTGTGATGGATTATAAGGAAGTGATGATTTTTTTTTTATATTTTACATGACTACAGTAGCAGAAATCACTTTTTTGATGTGAATTGAAGAAAACTGAATGAGTTGCCTGTTAGATGGACAGACCTAGTTTGATGACAGTCACAGATGAAGATCCCTAGGCTGACATTTCAGTATTCTGTAACTATATATCTTAAAGTCTTTGACTCATGGATACTGAACAGAATTTATCCCAGAATTTATTCAGATTTATGCTTACTGTTAGAGATGGCTACAAAGGTTACCATTATGGTTTTGTCTTTTGAGTGTATTGCGTGACTCCACAGTAGTGTTTATTGTTTCAGATGGTCAAAGGAGAATAACATTAAAAGACATAGGTGACGGCAGCTTCTTTTAATCATTATTGTTTTAGAGAGGATAATCAATTAACTCATTTCAAGATCAGTCATTCAGATATATCTGCAGATGACACCAAGCAGTGTGCAGATGACACTGACCTGTATGGTGCAGCCGAT